GCTATGAACTCTGGTCAGCTCTCCATATTATCTTGGAAGGTGCAAGTCGGACACGGTCCAAAGTTTGCCAATTGACCTGGTTGTATAGTGCAATAGACCATCTCCTTGATGATGTATGTACAATGTTTCTGATTAGGATTAAGAAGTCTTGGAACCGAGCTTGCCGAAATGTTTGTAATGCTAAGACTGCTCCCTAGAATGTTTTCGATTCGTCGAACAGGCATAATAATGTCCTGTATCAATACTTTCCTCAGTGAAGGCAACTTGATCTTGCCCGTTTGGAACAATATACTTCTAAACAGTGACTTAGTAAGGAACATGATCTGTTCCACAAAGTGGTTTTAGGGCTTTGATAAAAAAAATTCGAGACATCAGCGTAGTCCTAAGATCGTTTTGAGGAGTAAGTAAGGTGGGATTTTTACGACTATCACAGCCGGTGCTGCTTCAGTGAAGGCTTCGCCTGCAGCTGAGTGAGTGAGTGAGTGACTGAGTGTTTAGTGTTATGCCGCTTTTAGCAATTATAATATTCTAGTAATAGCACGGCGGGGGACACAAGAAATGGACTTCACACTTTATATACCCATGTCGGGAATCGAACCCGGCGTGACGAGCGAACGCGTTAATCACTAGGCTACCTCGCTAGGCTACCCCTGACAACGACTGACAGGTTAATTAATATTCAATCAATCACAAATTAAAACAGATATCAAGGACAACAAGTTAAATAAGGGTACCATGCCCATGTCACGACTTCCATTACCGAGACCCGTGAAGATCCGGGTTAGAATTGGCCTTCACCAACCCATGCTTGTCGTAAGAGGCGACTAACGGGATCGGGTGGTCAAACTCGCTGACTTGCTTGACACTTGTCATCGTATCCCAAATGCGTAGATCGATACTCATGCTGTTGATCACTGGATTGTCTGGTCCAAACTCGATTATTTACAACCTCCGACATCATAGCTTGAGTATTGCTAAGTGTGGCGTTAACCAACCGACAAACCCACCAATCCACTGGTGAAAAAATATTTATCAGACAGGCATCTATAGAAAGACAAGTGCTAGCTCCCAGTTGGCTTATTTTGGGTTTAGGCCAATTTAGATATATGATATTATATTGTCTTCTCACTACAAAAAACATACCCTGGAGAGACAGTGTTAATGGGCTAGTATGTCTTTGGGATATGTATAACGTAGTAATAAAACTTCGATGCTAAAACTGGATTTAATATGTTCGTTTCATCAGAGGACATCGCAAAATTGGACATTATTGTCGAGCCCTCGGGTAGATATGTGTACATATATGGATGGCGTGTTACTCTTAAATAATGTAACCTGAAGGGATGTGTTAACTCTCCTTGTATAACCCTGGCACCTCAAAGCGCAACGGCGATCTCGGTCAGATACGCCCAACGAGCTAAAATTGGGTGACCTTGTGTTGGTGTTGGTCTACCCACTAGACTCATGGGTAAGGATATTAAACCCCAGCAAACTAGACTTAGTTAACGTGGAAGGATCATCTGCGCGGATCGATGCTCATGATGTCAATCACTGGATTGGCTGATCCACATTCGATTATTTACAGAGCGCTGTCAAAACATTACAATAAAGATTTGGTGTCAAACAATAAAGAAAATAAATTACGCCTGTTCAGGTTTTGAGTGTGACCATATATCCATTTTATCTTCCTGGTGTATAGCCTCATCTTTCGTATTCTTGAAATACTGGTGAACATGGCCTTGTGTTGATGTCGACGTCAGTATAGTTTCTAGACAGTTGTGGTTAGTTTGGGTACATGTTATATGTATACATACTCTCGGGCCTAATATAACCCTGTCAATGTAAAGAGATAGATGGACAGCGGCATTGTAAAAACAATGGTCTCCTGTCTGTGACAAATGATAGATCATATTGTGCGTGACCTAGCATCAGTTAGTGCACGTGTCAGTATGTCACGATCGGTGTGACCAAATACGCATGTCTTTTAGTGACACCTTACATGCCTGTGACCTAAAGGCAGAACACATGTCATTCCGTGACTCTGAGTTAACTGGACCCGTGAAGATGCGGGGTAGAATAGGTTTTCAGCAACCCATGCTTGCACAAAAGGCGACTATGCTTGTCGTAAGAGGCGACCAACGGGATCGGGTGGTCATGCTCGCTGACTTGGTTGACATATGTTATCGGTTCCCAATTGCGCAGATCGATGCTCATGCTGTTGATAACGGGATTGTCTGATCCAGACTCGATTATCTACAGACCGGCGGCATATAGCTGGAATATTGTTGAGTGTGGCGTAAAACTAAACTAAACAGTTAACTGACATTGGTGCGAGTGATTTTATGGCATGCTCTTTGTGACCTCGTAGGTCATGCTCGGTATCGCTGAATATCAGTTCTCGTACCGTTATGGGACACCTTTTGTGACCTACACTACTACACTACAGGTACCCTTATGTGACCAAGTATCAGTAAACGTGTCATTACGTGACTCTGAGTGACCTACCATCGGTGGGAGTCTTTTTATGGCAAGCTAGCTCTTTGTGACCTAGTATCAACACAGGTCACTAGGTCATGCACGGTATCACTGAATTTCAATCTCGTACCGTTATGTGACACTTTTCGTGGCATACACTACAGGTATCCCTTATGTGACCTAATATCCTTACATGACGCTTGCAATAACCTAATAGGGGTACACATGCCATTACATGTATATGAGTACACGTGTTCTTATATCACGCTCTATGTGACCTTACACGTGATATTATATGACGCTGTTATGACCTATATCACAAAAGGGCCAATTGTTTCATGATTTGTCTTACCTAATATACAAAGCACACAAAAAGTATCAGTATAAATACCACTGAAACTAGTAACACAATGACAGATTTGTAATCTTTATTCACAGCAATAAAAAAAGTACAAAAATATTAATTTACATACAAGCTCTTTGTGACCTAGTTTCAACACAGGTCACTAGGTCATGCACGGTATCACTGAATATCAATCTCGTACCGTTATGTGACACTTTTCGTTGCACTACAGGTACCCTTATGTGACCAAATATCAAATTGAATGCAGGTGACATTTTGACATACTGTGTGGCGTAATATCAGAAAATGTGCCCTACTGTGACGCCCTGTCACGCTATGTCACGTTGTATGACCTAAAATTATAACAGGTGCCCTTATGTGACAATCGGTGTGACCTGATATCTGTAAGCAGTGTATGAAATAAGGCCCATCCGACCTCCCGAGACGGGCTACATTTCAGACGGACGGTCTAAATTTTCAGCTAGTCAGCCCGATGGTCTGGTAAAAGTTTTAGATAAACAGTTCCATGCATATGAGTAAATTCACCATATCTTAAAATCTGTTTTTCAAATTGAGCGTTTTAGACTTGACCATTGCTGTTTGAACATTGAAGTATCGTATTGCAAGCTCAAAACACTGCATTGACATACTCAAACAGAGACACATCAATGTGCGTAGTAAATACATGTCTTACGTTCAAATTATTATTCACCGTAACTAAAACTTACTATTTTCTTCGTATGTCTGGCCTGGTTAAATCCATATTGGGCTGGTAACAATTTGAAGTTAGCTGCCCGGATGTGTGGCTGGGTTTTTGGCTTATTTCATACACTGCTGTAAGGTGCCCTTATGTGACCTGATATTCATTTCAAGTGCCCTTATGTGACCTGATATCAGTACAGATGCCGCTATGTGACATGGTATCAGTACAGGTGCCCTTATGTTACCTGGTATCAGTTCAATTGCCCTAATGTGACCTGATATCAGTACAGGTGCCCTATGTGACCGGATATCAGTACATATACCGTTATGTGACCTGGTATCAGTACAGGTGCCCTAATGTGACCTGATATCAGTACAGGTCCCCCTTATGTGACCTGATACCGGTACAGGAGCCCTTATGTGACCTGATACAAGTACAGGTGCCCTTATGTAACCTGGTATCAGTACAGGTGCCCTTATGTGACCTGATACCGGTACAGGTGCCCTTATGTGACCTGATATCAGTACAGATGCCCTTATGTGACCTGATATCAGTACAGGTGCCCTATGTGACCGGATATCAGTACATATACCGTTATGTGACCTGGTATCAGTACAGGTGACCTTATGTAACCTGGTATCAGTACAGGTGCCCTTATGTGACCTGATACCGGTACAGGTGCCCTTATGTGACCTGATATCAGTACAGATGCCCTTATGTGACCTGATACAAGTACAGGTGCCCTATGTGACCGGATATCAGTACATATACCGTTATGTGACCTGGTATCAGTACAGGTGCCCTAATGTGACCTGATATCAGTACAGGTGCCCCTTATGTGACCTGATACCGGTACAGGTGCCTTATGTGACCTGATACAAGTACAGGTGACCTTATGTAACCTGGTATCAGTACAGGTGCCCTTATGTGACCTGATACCGGTAGAGGTGCCCTTATGTGACCTGATATCAGTACAGATGCCCTTATGTGACCTGATACAAGTACAGGTGCCCTATGTGACCGGATATCAGTACATATACCGTTATGTGACCTGGTATCAGTACAGGTGCCCTAATGTGACCTGATATCAGTACAGGTGCCCCTAATGTGACCTGATACCGGTACAGGTGCCCTTATGTGACCTGATACAAGTACAGGTGACCTTATGTAACCTGGTATCAGTACAGGTGCCCTTATGTGACCTGATACCGGTACAGGTGCCCTTATGTGACCTGGTATCAGCACAGATGCCCTTATGTGACCAAGTATCAGTACAGGTGTCCTTACGTGACCTGATACCGGCACAGGTGTCCCTATGTCACCTGATACCAGTACAGGTGCCCTTATGTGACAGTCGGTGTGACCTGATATCAGTACAGATGCCTTTATGTGACCTAATATCAGTGTCCTTACATGACGCTTGCAATAACCTAATAGGGGTACACATGCCATCACATGTATATGAGTACACGTGTTCTTATATCACGCTCTATGTGACCTTACACGTGATATTATATGACGCTGTTATGACCTTATATCACAAAAGTGCCAATTGTTTCATGATTTGTCTTACCTAATATACAAAGCACAGAAACAGTATCAGTATAAATACCACTGAAACTAGTAACACAATGACAGATTTGTAATCTTTATTCACAGCAATACAAAAAGTACAAAAATATTAATTTACATACATACACATGTTCACCTACATATGCCGTTATGTGACCTGGTATCAGTACAGGTGCCCTTATGTGACCTGATATCAGTACAGGTGCCTCTTATGTGAGCTGATACCGGTACCGGTGCCCTTATGTGACCTGATATAAGTTCAAGTGACCTTATGAACCCTGATATAAGTTCAAGTGCCCTTTTATGACATGCTATCAGTACAGGTGCCCTTATGTGACCTATTATCAGTACAGGTGCCCCTATGTGACCTGATACCAGTACAGGTGCCCTTATGTGACCTGATACCGGTACAGGTGCCCTTATGTAACCTGATACAAGTACAGGTGCCCTTATGTAACCTGGTATCAGTACAGGTGCCCTTATGTGACCTGATATCAGTACAGGTGCCTCTTATGTGACCTGATACCGGTACCGGTGCCCTTATGTGACCTGATATAAGTTCAAGTGACCTTATGTGACCTGATATAAGTTCAAGTGACCTTATGAACCCTGATATAAGTTCAAGTGCCCTTTTGTGACATGCTATCAGTACAGGTGCCCTTATGTGACATATTATCAGTACAGGTGCCCTTATGTGACCTGATACCAGTACAGGTGCCCTTATGTGACCTGATACCCGTATAGGTGCGCTTATGTGACCTGATATCAGTACAGGTGCCTCTTATGTGACCTGATACCGGTACCGGTGCCCTTATGTGACCTGATATAAGTTCAAGTGACCTTATGAACCCTGATATAAGTTCAAGTGCCCTTTTGTGACATGCTATCAGTACAGGTGCCCTTATGTGACCTATTATCAGTACAAGTGGCCTAACGTGACCTGATACCAGTACAGGTGCCCTTATGTCAGTACAGGTGCCCTTATTTCCCCTTATATCACTTCAAGTGCCCTTATGTGACATGATATCACTTCAAGTGCCCTTATGTTACATGATGTCACTTCAAGTGCCCTTGTGTGACCTGGTATCAGTACAGGTGCCCTTATGTGACCTGGCCCCGATTTCCCAAAACAAACTGAAGTCTGAGTTTCGACTTAAGTTAGAATTTTTACTCAAATTTGAGAAAACGCAGGAAAATGCATTTCCCAGAATGAACTGAAATCAATATTAAACTTATACATTTTAGACAATTTGAGTTTGGGGGATAGATTACTGAAGTTGTTTGGGCCTTTTTATTTTAAAAAATGCAGTTGAGTTAAAACATGAGCTGTTTCAAATTGTCAAGCTCAGTTTGGAATTTGAGTAAAAACTTAAGTTTTTTCTAGAAATCGGGGGGCTGGTATCAGTACAGGTGCTCTTATGTGACCTGATATCAGTACAGGTGCCCTGTGCCCTTTATGTGACCTGATATCAGTATAGGTGCCCTTATGTGACCTATTATCAGTACAGGTGCCCTCATGTGACCTGGTATCAGCACAGATGCCCTTATGTGACCAAGTATCAGTACATGTGTCCTTACGTGACCTGATATCAGTACAGGTGTCCTTATGTGACCTGATACCAGTACAGGTGCCCTTATGTGACAGTCGGTGTGACCTGATATCAGTACAGATGCCTTTATGTGACCTAATATCAGTGTCCTTACATGACGCTTGCAATAACCTAATAGGGGTACACATGCCATCACATGTATATGAGTACACGTGTTCTTATATCACGCTCTATGTGACCTTACACGTGATATTATATGACGCTGTTATGACCTTATATCACAAAAGTGCCAATTGTTTCATGATTTGTCTTACCTTATATACAAAGCACACAAAAAGTATCAGTATAAATACCACTGAAACTAGTAACACAATGACAGATTTGTAATCTTTATTCACAGCAATACAAAAAGTACAAAAATATTAATTTACATACACACATATGTTCAGCTTCAGATTGCCTTATCCCAACGACAGGTTCAACATGGCAGACAATACGTCATTATATTTTTTGTTCAGATGGGACAAATAAACTGTAGCAAAGCTTCAAAATTCAGCAGCTTTCAGAGATGAAAACGATTTCCCCGTGGATCTGTGTTCCTCTAAGGGAAATATTAATATGTTTGTTTACATGGTTCCGAGGTAAGCAAGCGAGTTCAATGCCATTATGCACTTAAGTTATTTCAGTACAGGTACAGATAAGCGTAATGTGAGTGCAAAGCTTAAGGCAACAAAGGTCGTGGACGGTCGCCTGAACGTCATGGGAGAAGTTCTCAGAGATCAAGACTGATGTTACGGCGTGAATGTCTGCTGCGAAACTCAAACTGTAGACCCCAAGGGACATAACTCCCTAGTTTGCATTGTTGGACTTTGGGACTCTTCACAGGGTTGTCTCTCACTCGAGGAGTGAGTGAGTAAGGTTTTAAGCCGTCTTTAGCAATATCCATGCCATGCATATCCCAGCAATATCACGGTGGGCGATTCCAGAAATTGCCATCACACATAGTACCTAACTTGGGGAATGGAACCATCTGGTCTTCGCTGCGACGAACGAACGCTTTAACCTCTAGACTACCCAGCTGCGTCGGAAAGGGGCTTATACAGGCAGATAATACCGAAACACACTTTGTGATTTTCAGGAATGTTGAAAGTTCATCGAAAACACGAATAAATGGAATGCAATGAAATGGATAATGTATGGTGGTCTTTTGGTCGCAGTCATCCATTATATGATATCAGTGTGATGAACACTATTTAATGGGCTATATCTGGTGAAGATAGGAATCACATATAATAATGCATTCATTATACACATATTTACAAACGATGGTATAAATAACAAATAACAACAGCAACTCAGTTGATAAACGTACACCGGGTCACGTGGCATCACACTGCGCATGTGCAGTTTATGCATTATTCATATACCCCGCGGAAGACTCTGCCATTCATCAGTACACTCTATGTAAAGATTCTGGATGCACACCTTTTACAGATTAAACTTCGGGATACTGATGGTAATGTTGACTTAACTTCGATGTCGATATGTCCACGTTGTAAATAGCTGTAAAGTAGCCGGAACAATCACTGGGTTTGTCAATCACCCATCCATGTGTCAATCGTTGCGTAGATCACTGTGAGTCACCTTATCACATAACTGAGACTTGATAAATACACCACAATAACGGGCATACATGTGATCTACAACCTTGTCTGCTCTGGGTAAACGATTATGGGCACCGGGCGTGTTATTGGGCTGTTCCTGTAAGAAATGAAAGCAAACTTAAAACCAGAAAGAGAAGCAGATTACCTCAAAAGTCACACTGACGCTTGATTGCTTGTTTATTGTTTAACGCTGCACTCAGCAATATTCCAGCTACATGGGAGAGGTCTGTAAATATTCGAGTCTGAGCCAGACGATCAGGTGACTAACATCAGGAGAATCGATCTACGCATTAGGTTGGTTAGTTGGTTGGATGGTTTGTTGTTTAACGCCGCACTCAGCAATATTCCATCTATATGGCGGAAGTCTGTAAATATTCGAGTCTGGATCAGACAACCCAGTGATCAACATCATGAGCATCGATCTACGCAACTGGGATACGATGACATATGTCAACCAAGCCAGCGAGCCTGACCAGGTGACCTCTTACGACAAGCATGGGCTACTGAATTCTAACCCGGACCTTCATGGGTAAAAAAAGACATGAGTGAATTACTGACAAATCAGCGACGACACCAGGTGTCCGCGGACAGTCAAATGATCAACAGCATGAGCATCCATCTATGCAACTGGGATACGATGACATGTGTCAACCAAGTCAGCGAGCCTGATCACCCGATCCCGTTAGTCGCCTCTTACGACAAGCAGGGATTACTGAAGCACAATTCTAACCCTGATCTTCACAGGTCCCTGACAATGTAACGATTTTGAAGCATGAGGACCTGTACAGAAGCTCCACTATGATTAACTGCTAACGACCAACACTATTGGGACACGATAACATTAAAACACCCACGCTCATCTCATCCGTCATCCGACTAGCATTGTGTAAGGTCGACCTATTCAGCCCTGGAATGCCCAGGAGGAGTGTCCGAATGTGAACTAACGGCTGCTACCGGCGGTGTACTTACTGTGAATGCCTGAAGGGGTATGTGTCGAATCTGTCGGGCATGACGATGTTGTCTGACGGATGGGACACATAGCTGATGCTGGAAATAACGGGACGTTACAATTATAACAAGTCAACTGGGGACAAAGGCTAGCGACACAAGGCTCATCAATATCAGCCACACTAAGTTATATATCGTCTGAAATGTGTTGTCTTGTTTGTTTGTTGTTTAATGCCATCCTCAGGAATATCGACGCTATATGACAGCTGTCTATAAATAGTCGAGTCAATCAGTGATCAGCACCCTGAGCATCGATCTTCGCAACTGGGATATGATGAAATGTGTCAACCCAGTCAGCGAACCTGAACACCCGATCCCGTTAGTCGCCTCTTAAGACAAGCATGGGTTGCTGAAGCCCAATTCTAACCCGGGTCTTCACAGGTTCGCTTGAAATGTACTTTCTGGATATATAATAGGTGATTGAGTAATGCTAAGATTTTGCGTTGGCAACGATAGTCCATCTTGTGGCATACACGATGGTTGCACACTCGGTCGATGATGTTTAATTCCACAGTCAACAATGCTTCAGTTCCTTGAAGTCGATCTCTAAACAGGGATCAGTCAATCAAACCTGGATAAGGTTTGATCAAATAATCAAATGATTGATATTGTAAACAATGATCCAAGGGATTCTGACAAGACTAGGGGGTGTAACTTCGCTTTGCTGAAGATGCATATACACCTAGAATTACTTACTTCGTGTGTCCTTTCTCCGCGTGTTGCTCTTCAAACGTTTGTTCCCAGTTACTTCTGTACTGCTCTGAGAGGTTTAGGGGCTCTAGCCTGTAGACAGACACAGTTTAGTGTTATTAACGTTCCAACGTTCATCATAACAATGTAAGAACGCTACTTTACGATCTATGTTAAAACCAATTATTCCATGTATATCACACCCTTGTTTAAACAGTCCTCGGTCCTCGGCGTGACGAGCGAACGCTTTACCCACTTGGCTACCAGGAATATTAGGAGTAAGTGGTTGTGTGACACCTATTCAGCAGCCTTGCGGCTTGGTGGCCATGGTAAGGTAGGACTCGTATCCTATATTCGTGAGACTTGTTTGACGAAGGACCGACAGCCATACACTCACACATTAGACTGTTGGGATATCATGGAGATCAAGTCGTCGTTCAGCCTCTCGGTTGTTTTGCTTCTGTACGATGCCCTGAAACAAACATGCTTTATGTAGACACAGTAAACTACGTATATACCGAACACGCTTATATCGAACTGGGTTTTTGAAGCTTCCGATCACTTGCTGTATATTTTAGCCGAAAGGCGTCTAACAAACCGCGGTTTTAACGACATAAATTGGGCGTCCCTTTGAGGTCTTTATAACAGAAGATTACTGTATATACAGAACATGAGAACAATAGTCATTGATGTGTACTTTGAGGCTGCGAAACCGAAGGTTGTGTTATTGTCATCACGCAACTGTCTAGGAATCATATTTTTCTGTGTCGTAAAATTGAAAATTCTTGTAATGATTAAAATACGAAATGGAAATAGAAAACAGCTCATTATGTTTACAGATGATGATTGGGATCTTTTTACATGAGCGACACAAAACATCAACATTTCACTCTTTGACTAATTTCTTTCCTATGAAACCAAAAATTGGAGGAGGCCTGTTTCTTTAACATGTCCACCATTCCACTGGTTGTAGATCTCGATTATAATGCAAAGGAAAATCCGAAATGAAACATTAGTACCACATCTAATGTCTGTATGCTACTAAACAGAGAACGCCTATCAGATTCTATCATACAATTATAGATTTCCTATGAAACATGACAAAATCGGGTGGTCCATTTTCCAAGTTTCCACTTTCAAACCTGGAGAGCATCCAGTCATCTTTATCCGCCCAAACCGGAATTCATAGGGCGTAAAACGCAAAATAACGGTGAAAATGACATGAGTGAGTTTAGTTTTACGCCGCACTCAGCAATATTCCAGCTTTATGGCGGCGGTCTGTATATAATCGAGTCTGGACCAGACAATCCAGTGATAAACAGCATGAGCATCGATCTACGCAACTGGGATGACATGTGTCAACTAAGTCAGCGAGCCTGACCAGGTGCACCCGATCCCGTTAGTCGCCTCTCACGACAAGCATGGGTTGTTAAAGTTTCTCACCCGGATCTTCACGTGTCGAAAAAGACATGAGTGGATCACTGAAAAATCAGCGACGACACCAGGCCCCGATTTCTCGAAACAAACAAGGCAGAAAAATGTAATTCCCAGAATAACCTGAAATTTATATTAAACTCAAACACAGTAAACAATTTGAGTTTGGTGGATCGATTACATAAGTTGTTTGGGCTTTTTTTTAATTTAAAACTACAGTTGAGTTAAAACTTCAGCTGTTTCGAATTGTCAAAATTTGAGTAAAAACTTAAGTTGGTTTCGAGAAATCAGCTAGCCTGACCACCTGATCCCGTTGATCGCCTCACACGACAAGCATGGGTTGCTGAAGATCAATTCTAACCCGGATCTTCACGGGTCAAAAATGACATGAGTGGATCACTGAAAAATCAGTGACAACACCAGATGTTCGCGGACACCCGGTGTCATGACAACCTGAAGACCAGCCAATTCCATATTACAATAACCCCAAGGGCAGGTCGAGGGGAATTTGTCAACAGTGAATCCTCACAAACATTTCATGCTGTAGCATGCGGACACAGATTATCAACTCACGGTGATGCGTTGGCAGAATTGAGACCCGCCTGTTGACGAAGGTTACTGAACGAGTTTGGTTTCCCTGGAAACAGGCTGTTTTGTGAATAGTACGTGCTCTTTGTTTTGTAGGAGGAGGCATCTGACCAGTCGCCTTGGTTACTGGAACGGGATGATGTAGAGCGAGACGATTGGGAAGATGGTGTCCCCGGAGCCAACAGATTCCTGAAAAATAAAATTAGTTTGTTTATTCAGTTTTAAAACAAATAAACTCACTCACTCCAGGACCAGTTGTAACATAGATATTAGCATTTTATGTGAAAAACAGCTTATTTCATATTCTTTTTACATGAGGAGGTCTGTTTGTTTTCTGATATTCGGGCATGTAAAACCTGCTGTGTTAAAGACCTTGGTTTCTAATTCCATCTCATACAACTTCATACTAGTACTGAAACTGGTAATCACTGCCTGTGACGTGTGAAATCGCGTTGCACTTACACATACCCATGATTGATAACATGAGCATCTTCATACATACTACGATTCATAACTGAGATATTGATATGTATATAACATATATAGTATACATTGTCTTCAGTTGAACAGATATCCACGTACCGGACAGTTTACAGACCTCCGCCACATAGGTGGAATATTGCTGAGTGCGACGTTAAACACCAAACAAACAAGCATTAATCTGATTTTCTTTCTGGTTTAAAGTTTGCTTTTATTCCTTACAGGAACAGCCCAATGACACGCCCGGTGCCCATAATCTTCATAGCAGACCCGGTTGTAGATTACATTTATTCCCGTTATTGTGATGCACTGGAGATTTGTTGGGCTGACCCGACTCGGTAAGGGTCATACAAGACCGAGCAAAGTAACATTCCAAAAGTTGTGTGACGACATGATGACAACTGATGGCGGAACTTGTCAAGAAACGACAGCCAGATGTTCTTACATTGAGTTCTATGCTGAGGAACGCAGACACTCCCGAGTGACACATTACAACGATGATTAAGTGCTATTAGTACCACGTGCCAAAACGTCCATCAAATCACGTAATCAGGAAAAGCACTCTTCATCATGCTCAATTTGCATGGAAAATTGTTTCTTTGTTTGTCAATTTGAATTTAACTTAACTGAAATTCTGCTCCGGGTTCAAGGTTGTTATTTTGTTCTCAAATATCAAAACGCATTGCTTGCGCCCATCCGATCCTTAATTTAATTACGACCTTAAACTTACGCTCTTGTCGTATTTGGGAAGAAGTCAATCCTGCCACGTAGCTATTTCTAATTCAGATTAGCTCATAACTGGTTGTATCGTGGAGCATCTTAAAGAATTGGCAAAAAGAAAACTTTCATTACAATATTAACGCAAAGTATCGGAATAAGAACCAGTTTTCATTATCTGCCAGTACAGATTCCATTGGGCCTAAAATGCAAAATAATAGACTAAGTGAAAATGATACGAATGGATAACATCGGGTTTTGTAGAAAGGAGCATGTCTGCTCAGGATTGCTGCACTTGCTTTATACCTCTTGAGCAAAATAGGATATTGTAGAGTTTGTAAAAAAACAGCTTCAGATCATCACATTCCCTCCCTCACGAACTAACCAACACGAAAGGATATTTACCCTGTTTTCTCTTCTACGATTGGCTTCCGATGTATGACCTTGTCTTTGGTAGATCTCTGTCGTACGCGAGGCATGATGATGCGTAGAAACACCGCCAACGTCGCGAGGAGTATCACTGCGCCAACAGCTCCCACCACTACCACTTCAGCCTGTGTTAATCCGCTCCAGGATGGAGCTAGGTCTTCAATAATTTCTGGCTCTGTGCCGTTCATACCCGCCGTTTTATTCATGTCTGGAGCAAGGTTGTCGTGGCTTTGATCTGTAAAGAAACAAGTAAAGTGTCTGATGTCTACAAGATAAAGGTATCTGCTGTTGAGCGATGACACATCGGTTTAAAGGAACCGCTTGGGGCGATCTCCTCTTTCCTGTTTAAACAAGAATAACCCTTCAGTAAAACAACATCTGCTTGATACAGAAGATACGCAGTGTTAATGTCAGGTCTGAGAAGTTCTATTGCAAATGCAAACCGTCAAGACCAAGGGATAATCAGTCACGATTATCTGTTGATTCCGATGAAGTGAACGCCTTTAACCAAATCAACAGTCACAATACATTCAGATGTGTCTTTTCCACTAGCTAGCCGTAAAGATCCGGATTAATATTGTTTCCAGCAACCCTTGTCGTAAGAGGCACTTGGGTGGTCAGGCTAGCTCACTTGGTTGACACAAGTCATCGTATCCCAACTGCGTAGATCGATGCTCATGATGTTATTCAGACTTTTATTTAGAGATCGTCATATTGCGGGTATAATGCGACAAATACACAAACAATGGTATCAGTCACTGGATTGTCTGGTCCAGAATCGATTCTGTATGTGAGTTAATACGCATCGATAACACGTTGACGTAAACTATCACCTGCGTTGTTTTCAAAACAAGGACGATAGTTTTATGAATGGCGATAACATCAGCAAATCCACTGACATTTTGAAATGTTCCTCCTTTATTCGACCGACTGTGGATCCTGACGGTGAGTTTTACACCGCTTTTAGCAATATTCCAGCAATATCTCGGCGGGGGACTCAAGAAATGGGCTTGACACATTGTACCCATGTGGGGAATCGAACCCGAGTCTTCAGCGTCCCCACATAGGTCCAATGTGTGAAGCCCATTTCTGGTGTCCCCCGCCGTGATATTGCTGGAATATTGCTAAAAGCGGCTTACAATTAAACTCACTCACTCCAAATCCAGCTGTAGCACACATATAGAAATTTTATGTGAAAACCCGCTTATTCCTATTACATGAGGAAGGTCTGTTTTGGCTTCTGATATTCAGGCATGTAAATCTGCTGTATTTCGGACCTTGGCTTCTAATTCCATCTCATAAAGCCTCCTCACATGTCCAAGGTTAGTATCCAAATGATATATGGTAATCATGTTGATGCCTCTTCCAGTCTGGCACAGGGACACTTAATCCCGAGATGGCCTATGTAAAGTTTGTATAATGTTTCTGTATGCCACAGCTATTCTGAAAATTTGTGTAAAATTAGGGCAACCTTAAATAGCCTGTTTACATATGCAGGGTTTGGAACCGCCTTCTTTAACATTCGCCCTAACCATGATTAATATCACCCCTGCCTTGTGAGGCTGAGTAATGTCCCGTGAAGCTGTCCAGATGTACATGAGGCAGTTTATGATCTATTGCTTGTATTACCAGTTTTTATCATCGCATAACAAATTAAAAATGTAGAACGCCCCGAAGGATGTTTTGGTATCTTGGGAGTACCCCGATAATAAACTTCCATCGACCTCGCCGTCTGATTTCAAGGACTGCGGTGTTAAAGTACATTCACCTTCACAGATTGTATTCACGTTTCATTCCCTTAACCTGTATCTGGGGTTTTATGGTTTTGGTTTGTGTGCTGTGTACCGCCGCACACAGCAATATTCCACCTAAGTGGCGGTCTGTGAATAATCGAGTCGGGACCAGACAATCCAGTGACCAACATCATGCCAACAACATCATCATCAGCGACCATCATCGTATTGGGATACGGTGACATGTGTCAACCAGGGCCTCCTTTCACAGAGCACTAAGGTGATTGTAAGTCACTAAGGTAACCTTAGTGCAATGTTAAAGAATGAGAGGTTAACCTTAGCAAGGTTAACCACCATGATATTGCTGGAATATTGCTAAAAGTGGCTTGAAACTTTCCTTCGTGAAAGGAGCCCCAGATCCCGATACTCGCCTCTTTGGGTTGCTAAAAAGTAGTAAAGACCAATTCTGATCTTCATGGGTTGGGGGTTCTAAGAGTCTTAATGTAATTTGAGAATGCATTATTTGGAATCATTGAGATGTTTGTTACCAGGAAAGAAAGGTGTCCAGATTAAGTTCAGAGTGGGTGAGTAAGTAAGTATGGTTTTACGCCATTTTAGCAATATTCAAGCAATATCACGTAGGGAGACACCAGAAATTAGCACATTCCAGCCGTGTGGGGAATCGAACCCGAGTCTTCGGCGCGAGGAGCGAACGCTTTAACCACAAGGCCACAGAAATAGGGTTGTTTCAAGTGGTTATTAACCCATTCGAACGCAAATATCACAGCAGACTTCCACTATTAGAGGAGCAACTGAAATACAAGTGTGGGTACATACATGCGGGTGAAAACCGCCAAATCGGATTGCATGTGTCGCCATGTTGAATATAGAAACATATTAACTAAATTTCAAAACTGTCAGGAAAAGAAAGAAATTACTTGTAAAAATGGATTTTCCAACGTCGTCTAAACTATACTAGCCTGAAAACAGTCACCAAAACACAGCAAACGTAAGATCTATGATATCTATGATACCGGCACAAGCCCCTAACCATTCCTTGTTGTTTCAGTTTAGTCACTGGAAAACATGGGTGTATGCTTCTTTAGCCCTGAAGATTAGGTCAGGTTTGTCGGAGAGTCAGCCTTTCCCAACCGTAGTTTAAGAAACATGGCACATCTCGGTCACCTACATCCTCAGCAGTTCTCTCACACAGACAATTACACTCTGCTAATGTGTCTCCCCTCCAGGTAGAGCAAGCACCTGCCCTGTCGTACCATGATGAAAGCTCACTGTACGCGGGATCAAAGAAACTCGGCGACCCAACACAACAGTTTTCGCTACAACGAGACAGTTATTCGTGTGGCATCGTCCTGCTTTATTGTCTTATTTATGACTCAATGAGTTAAACACATGTGCAAAATACAATGAATATTCATTTTCCCTCTTTGTGAAAAATTGCACGACTGCATTTTAGTCCGTTTGATTGACGCATAAGGAGGTGAAAAAACAAGAAAGTTAACTGTGCATTCTTAAATTAGACTGTGGGGAAATAATAGCTTTCAGAAGACAATGTCTTCCTAGTCATATATGACAGTACAGTTAGGGTTACATATTGTAATGCATACATTGACCTCGAATTCTTGAATAGAAAACGACACCTTGTAATATATTCAAGATTTGACTAATCATTTGTGGACATTTGTGACGACTATGATGAAAATAACTTAATGAATATGTGACTGAGAACAAATGGCGTTTTTAAAAGTCTTTAACCTGAACATCCCATTGTCTTCACTCCCTCCTATTCCTCTAGGGAAACCTGTTACACTGCGGTTGTTGGCAAAATTATGTCCTTTTTCATCTATTTTCTTAAAATTGAAACGTTTTAAATGTATATTTTCTTTTTAATGATGTTTTAATCAGAGAAATTGAGTCACGTCTGCAAAACAATAATTGTCGTTATATTGTCATAACATAATTTGGAAAATATATAAAATATTCTGATTTAGAAATTCCTACTGCCATTTGCTGGGGCCAAATATTGACCTCTGTGCAGGCTCAGAGAAGTCCCTGAACGTACATACGTACAGCATATGATACGAGTAAAACAGGGTTAAGATTTAACATATGTTATATTTGGGATTACACTTTCTTAGTAAAGTACAGATTCTAGTACTTTTTGGGGTTGGGTCCCATCCGGGATTCGAGATTCGAGATTCGAACCCACACCCTCAGTATCACTTGTTGCGGATGTGACTCAACCCCAAAAAGTACTAGAATCTGTACTTTACTAAGAAAGTGTAATCCTAATATAACATATGTTACATTTGACCACTTTCTAAAAATGGCATTGTGTATTTCAGAGTTAAGATTATATGTTAAATTACAACACGAATGCAGAACAGTATGAAATAGCATATGGAGAACGGGATACCAACCTTAAAATAGCAATGATTACAGGGCAGATTCCTTGGACCCAGTATCCAATGTTTGACGAAAGAGAAGACTAAAATGACAATGCGGCATTCCTACAATGTTGTGTGAGTAAATGCAGGCAGGTGTCCGCTAATTGACGCGACTGGCAATGCTCATACAATCAGCCACTGGTTCGTTAAGTGTGACACCGTCTCTATGGTGAACATAAGGTATGGGGTTCGATCCCGGACGCGTCATGCCAAATGAGGTTTAGATGTTACAGGTGAGGTGAGGTGAACTTGGGTTTCACGTCACACTTAAGAATATTTCGCTCATATGACGCATGCGCGTGTATGTGTGGCCGCTTGTACTTGCCCAGAATTAAGCTGGTTTTATAGTGCTAGCTCACTGAGATACCAGTTAAACATGAATACCCCACTCAGACACTTTATACTGGCTCCGAGCCGACCAGTCATTGTTGTACCCATTAATGCCGGGCGCCAGGCAGGGACCAAACAAGTACCATATCTTAACGTGTTTTGGTATGACGCGGCCGCGGACCGAACCCGCGACCTTCCGCTCTCCGGACGGTCGTTCTAACTACTACACCACGGAGGCGGTAAATGTTACAGTAAGTTATTGAAAGCAAACCATCCGCACCGCCCCCCACCCCCCCTCCGAACACAAGCACATACACACACACGCCACAAGCGCACATCCACCCACATTCATGCAAGTTCAATTATCTTGAACACGTCGTTAAACATAATATCTTGAGAAAAAACTCTTGATTAAATTAATCAGTGAATTAATGGTAAAACATATACAAAAAGTAAATTCACCTCACCAGCATATTCTACGCGTATCATGTCTTCCGATTGTTTGTTAACAGGGATGTGCTTTTAAGTTACCATATCCACGAAAACTTACCTCAGAGTTAAATACACTCGACTCGCTGCACTGATCGGAGACACTGATTTGGTCCGTGTAAGAGAGTATCTATTTGAATATCTTGATGACAACATCGGTTGCTACGCCCAATACGTGGGATACTGTTATCACAAGCGGCCAACCCCGAACAACACACGTCACGGACACCGCATTGAACAACGATTATGCACCGCCCAGTTGAATAATAAATATTGCTTTAAATTCAAACATGCGCATGTTTCATACAAAGGCCGATCCTTATTTTAACAGTAACTGAAGTGGACTTTTAAGCACTAAGCTACGTGAATGGGAACGACAAACCTCGCCTTTTAGTTCACGCTTCAGTAAATAGCCACAATGGATTTAGCGCTGAGGGACATATCATCGCTCTTGTTGACGCACCGCCGTGTCTTGATGATGTCAGTTAATCGCACCTAGAATGTATTGTAATATCATACGCTGGATTACGTTTTGTAGGGAGTGAGTGAATGAATACAGGTTTACGCTGCAGTCAGTATTGCCTCTCTTGAAGCTCCCCTGGGAGGGTATATAGAGAGATTATATACGACTTACACGAAACGAGCGAGAGCGAGGGCAATACACAATTTTGCACGAGTTTCGTATAAGTCGTGTGGCTCACTTGTGTGTGTAATAATTTCTTTATTATCCATTTTATTCATGTACACTTGTGCAGTAAAGCACGGTAAGCAAGTGTGATGTCCCTGTTCATTGACGTCACGTTCAATTGTTTAATGACGTCACAGACGATGAAATACAGAAACAATTTCTGCTTATGCATTATGATATTTATTACCTATGAGGACGAAACTATCATATCACATTTTTCATACGATGCCCTAGGGCAAAATATCACTTTGTCATGGTGACGAGACGTCATGAACAATGCTAGGACGTCACGTGTCTTCTGTGACGTTGCGTTCTACATGCGGCGATGGCGGGTAGCCAGCCTATGTTTGAAAGTAGATATGGGTTTATTTCCTCAATTTGACGACTTCGGTAGTAAACAGAATATCACATTCGTGCCCATATCATACTAAATATCGGGACACTGACACTGGTTATGTTTCACCATATGGCTAAAAAAGTCCATATCATTCAAAGAATATTCATATATATCACCGTCTTTTATCGTTATATATGTGTACAGTTTAGCTTAAGGCTAACATTGCGTACACTCGCTAAAGCTGAAAGGATGTAAATCCCTATGGTCCCTAGTATGGTCAGTTCACTTTAGTTGCTAGCGATCTCTAGCCTACATTTATGCTGTGGTTGTCAATGAATAGCTTAATGTTTTATTGTCCTCACTCACTCAGAATCTCGAGAATCAGTTGCCGTTTACAGGTGCTAACCTGACTGTACGCATTAGAAAATGTATTTATCGATCTATTTAGTCAATGTAAATACTCGAGCGATATCCTCCTATACCCATCTCAGCATGCATTTTATGAAGTCACGTGCCAATTAACCATGCACTTTATGCTTTTCAAACAGTGTAACTCACATTAAACGTGACAGGAGACTCCAGTGTCAAATTTATAACGCGTGAATACCTCCTCCCTCCTCTTCTCGACATCTCCCGGCGACTCTCCCCACCCCCATATTAAATTCCCCCACTCCCTCAATAATAGTTTAATGTATCGTTCTGTATAACACAATGTCAACGGAGATGTAAAATGTAAATTATTTTCGACCAAAGTACAAAGTCTGCACCCAAAATTTCATGCTATTGAAATCCTTGTATCAACTTAAATTTTAATCACCATTACAGACAAGACGAAAGTCATGACGTATAGCGACTTGTCAGTTTTTCTAAATCTTAACAGCACATCTTCAACTCGTAAAGTGCATGCGAAGATGTCGTCATGAACTACTTTATTTAAGGGAAGGGTTTCCCCTGGCAGAGATTTATTACATACAATAAATTTCATTCTTACAGACAAACGTAAAAGTGTAACACATAATGACTGAATTTATGACTGATCTCCGTTGCACTGGATATAGAGGGTCTACTTTAAACTAGTTTAATGTTATAAATACAAGTGACACGATTCATGCAAATAGACTCCAAATATGCATCAAACCCAGATAATACCGCAATACGACCTTGTCTAAACACAATGCATCAAAAGAACGTCAGTCCCTGCATATCGAAGATCTACCTCTGTGTACATTAACACCAGACATTAAAAGCTACCGAAATATTTGCAAAGGTTGTTATACGCCATTAAAGAGCACATCATATTCTACAAATAGCTTTTGTGCACAATCAGTTGTATTGTGAATAAACATAAAAAACGTCATTATGAATAGATCGGTGATCGATATAAGGTGTTTCAAGTGCAGTTAAAATGCAAATATACCTGAAACTGATTAGCCGATGTCTTCTGGCGACGTCGTTTCGCGTTCCTATCTGATTGCCACACAGGTAAGACAGGTTTAACAAGGTAAATGGCCAGTCAGCTCTTTTGTGGGACATGCATTTTTTATGACCGACTTTGAAGTAAAATTGATAAAACCCCTGTGACTGGTGTGGCCTTTACCTGTGCTTGGTAATGGCGGGTAATGAGACATACTTTCTCTGAGTTGGAAATGTCAGCCCGTTCGAACTAGCTCGTACCTGCCTACAACAAAATTTAGTTATTTGGAAACAGCGGAAAGTTGGGTGTTTTTTATCACGTGCACATTTATCTGCTAATTGGGTGAATTCCGCAGGAAACTAGATGTCGAGTAGCAAAGTTAACATGAGAGAAGTTTGGGAATTTTAAACATTATCAGATTGGCTAATTGACATTTTAGGGCAAATGGTGTTGAACGTCGCCCACAGCAACATTCAAGCGACGTAGATATTTTTCAGATTAATCAAGGTGTTATATTTAATAAATACAGTTCGCTCTGCCACCATTTATAGTGTCATAAAGCACACTTTCGCCCTGAACTATTATTGTTAAAGCACGAGAACGCTTATCAAGATGTTAAATGTTATCGAAACAACACGAGTGAGTGAATTTTACGCCACCTTTAGTAATATTCCAGCAATAACATGGTGGGAGACACTAGAAATTGGCTTCACACATTGTACCCATGTGGGCTACCCCATCGACCTAAAACACAACGATATAAACTGGAGTCTAAAACTGAAATGAAAGAAATGCTTTTCATGGTGATTGCGTCAAATTCAATATTCAAGATGATACTACCTTTGAAAGGCAGTTGCTAAAGCCATAAGTAGGGAATGTGTCGGTTGAAATGCTGGCTACGAGCTGTTCAGTGTACATAATAACAATGGGAACAAATAGCCACTAATTACTCATTTAATTTAATACGCTTACCAATTCAGAGGTTCGAAAACTGCAGCCACATAGACGCGACGTTAGACGGTCGGCTCCCAGTACGTAAGTGAATTGGAATTGACAAACTCATCCGCCCTGTGACGTCACTGTGTTCTGTTTTCATAAGCATAAACTACCAGGACGTTATCATCTTATTGAAATGACCATTGTATATCTACACGTACTTCCGGGGTCAGGGGATCACATTAGCAGGGAGGGTGGGGTTCACACTAGGTTACAAAGGGGCGTAGCCGCAAAGGGGTGGGTCGGAGACGGTTCCCATGGAAAAGGGATGATGTTGTTAAATAACAGTTCATTTATGAATCGCTATATCAACGCATTCCCGAGGCATGCGGATATTCCTTATAATGTGTTCAGGAGTGGTCATTTCGGCCGGTGTCCGCCTTTCAACCCGAGGAGTGTATTGTCATGATCAATCCTTACATAGTCATTTCAAACAACGTCAGTTTAAACAAATTCATTTCGTGCACAAAAGATGATTCATTGCTCGATAAGCACGATGTAGTCAGATGAGATGTTTGATCAATCAAAAACGGGTAAACTTAAGCAAACATGGAAGTGTCCTGATGTTATATTGTTCATCAAAGCTGTCTCCCGGTCAGTACCTGACAGAGCGTCTCAATGTTAATCTGTCAGACGTCAATGTTGATGCGATAATCTAAATATGGCACTGACATGTGGGGGCGGTGGGGTCGCCTAGTGGTTAAAGCGTTCGCTCGTCACGCTGAACACCCGGGTTCGATTCCCTACATGGTTAAAATGTGTGAAGCCCATTTCTGGTGTCCCCTGTCGTGATATTGCTGGAATATTGCTAAAGGCGGCGTAAAACTAATTCACTCACTTTCTCACTGACATATGTGTCTCCTGCGCGACCGTTGCTATGGCGACTCAATGAAGTAACGGTATGGTATGTGAGTGAGTGAGTGGGCATGAATGAATTAGTGTGTGAGTGCGAGAGGTTAGTATAGCGCCCTTTGAAAGCTAGTTTCGTTTAACATGGTCTGTCAGTTTGATGTGGATGGAACGACTGGTTAAAGACGCAGGTCTTAGTCGTTTACCACTAACTGACTGACTGAGATTTGGTTTTACGCCGCTTTAGCAATATTCCAGCAACATCACGGCGGGGGACACCAGAATTGGACTTCACGCATTGTACCCATGTGGGGATTCGAACCCGGGTCTTCGGCGTGACGAGCCAACGCTTTAACCAATAGGCTACCCCACCGCCCCTTTTTACCACTAACACTAGCCTTCTAGTAAATAGGGGCGGTGGGGTAGCCTAGTGGTTAAAGCGTTGGCTCGTCACGCCGAAGACCCGGGCTCGAATCCCAACATGGGTACAATGTTTGAAGCCCATTTCTGGTGTCCCCCGTCGTGATATTGCTGGAATATTGCTAAAAGCGCCATACAATGATTTCACTAACTCCAATTCTGGTGGAAGCGGCGTAAAGCAATATTCACTCACCTGCTCGTTAATACACTACATAATTGAATACGTGGAGTTTTAGGTATTGCAGTAGCGTGCCCGATCTTGCATGAGTGGACAACTGTGGAATTGATTGAGTATTCTTCAAAACCCGGACACTAACAGTCGGGGTCTGGAACAAGAAGTTTCTGCTATATACGGAAATGGTGTTTTATCAGGAAATAGGTATTATTACCTGGGGCTGCATCAGCAATTTGTGCAGGTGTTCACCCAGATGTGTTTCTCAAATTTAAATATCTGAATTATAGAGCCACTGTTGATAGGAACAGTTAAGTGAGTGAGTGAGTGAG